TTATAGTATTTATATTTGTATTAAACGATTTATCAATTTGAAAATAACCTTAATTAAGTTAATATTCGTTGTTTAAGTTTCATTAGATAGGCTTTTATATATGGTGTTTTGTAAGTTTGAGTTTTGTTCATAAATGATGTGGCATTTTTATCTACGGCGTCATCAACTGTGGGAATCCATTCGCCGGAGTCTGGAATCGGTGGTGAGGAATGTTATCAAGGAAATTATAGTAGTTATTAAAATGTAAGAGAAATTATATATTCATTTAATAATAACGAAAATAATTAATTTTTGTTCTTTTACTTTATTTCATCTCACATACAAATTTTTTGAAAATATATATTAGGAAATATGTGCAATGATTTAACTTTTTGAACTCCTAATCTATATTATTCAACCTTCATTAAGCCATCCACGTATGCACCCGCGTGGAATTCACTTTTTTGTTTTTGTTTTTTTTGTCTGTTCGTTTTTAGATTTACTTTTTATTATTTTTGGGTTGATAGTTGTGTGGTTTGAACCCACAATCTTGCATACTTAATTAGACACCTTATACCACATGGATAAAGTGTATTCCATTGTTTGTGACCATCTTACCAAGACTATGTGTGTTTAAAAAATATTTTTATGATGATGACATTAATTGGTTTATGCATGAGAGCAGTGGGAATTGAACCCATGTCCTTGGCGACCAAACATAAGGTCTTAGACCACTTGGTTAAACTGATATTCTTTGTTTATAGCCATTTTAAAAAAACTATCTATTTTAAAATAAAAATGTGGGACCCACAATCTGCCTATGTGGACACCTTAAGGTGTGTTTTTTTGCTGTAAATAGTTTTTATATTGTAGATCAAAACTTGATATAATTCTATATTTATAGTATTTATATTTGTATTAAACGATTTATCAATTTGAAAATAACCTTAATTAAGTTAATATTCGTTGTTTAAGTTTCATTAGATAGGCTTTTATATATGGTTTTTTGTAAGTTTGAGTTTTGTTCATAAATGATGTGGCATTTTTATCTACGGCGTCATCAACTGCGGGAATCCATTCGCCGGAGTCTGGAATCGGTGGTGAGGAATGTTTTCAAGGAAATTATAGTAGTTATTAAAATGTAAGAGAAATTATATATTCATTTAATAATAACGAAAATAATTAATTTTTGTTGTTTTATTTTATTTTTTCTCACATACAAATTTTTTGAAAATATATATTAGGAAATAGGTGCAATGATTTAACTTTTTGAGCTCCTAATCTAATATTATTCAACCTTCATTAAGCCATCCACGTATGCACCCGCGTGGAATTCACTTTTTTTTTTTTTTTTTTTTTGTCTGTTCGTTTTTGGATTTATTTTTTATTATTTTTGGGTTGAGCTATATTATAATAGGATAGTTTTAAGGTTCTTTAAGCCATCCGCGTAGGCAGCCACGTGAGACTTGTTTTTTTTTGTTTTTTGTTTTATTATTCGTTTTGGATTCATTTTTAACTATTTTAGGTTTGAACTTATTAAGGTTTAGGGTTTATACAACTATTTTGATCTTTAAAACAATAAACCCAAAAAAAAACATAAGAACCTTATAAACAAAAAGCCCATATGATAATAACCTAAATAAAAAAATCAAAAATACATGATAGCTGTGTGGTTTGAACCCACAATCTTGCATACTTAATTAGACACCTTATACCACTTGGATAAAGTGTATTTCATTGTTTGTGACCATCTTACCAAGACTATGTGTGTTTAAAAAATATTTTTATGATGATGACATTAATTGGTTTATGCATGAGAGCAGCGGGAATTGAACCCATGTCCTTGGACACCAAACATAGGGTCTTAGACCACTTGGCTAAACTGATATTCTTTGTTTGTAGCCATTTTAAAAAAACTATATATTTTAAAATAAAAATGTGGGACCCACAATCTGCCTATGTGGACACCTTAAGGAGCTTTTAAACTCAATCATTATAATATAGATTATTATAAAAAAGTTTCGTATACGATTGGATCTTTAGTTAAATTAAATGGTTTATACTAGTAAGAGTATTGCCGTGGCATATCGGGTAAATTCAAATTGTATTTTCTACAATATACGCATGGACTTTAAATAAATGTTGATGGTCCACTAAAAGAAAACTATCAACCAACCTTATTAAGAGACGTGTGTGAAAGGATGGTGGCTATTATAGGTTGGGAGTGTTTGAAGCTTTTGAGAATCTTCTTAGGACGAAAAGAGATGGCTTTTACGCACTCACTTTTGGCCATGTCGTGAACCCCATTTGCAGATGTATCTGCCAAAATTTCTGTACTAAACGACAACTGTTATGTAATAAAAAAAAAATATCCAAAACAGGTGTCATAGACATGTTTTTAGTTTCATGTCATAATTCGAGACCAATCATCGGAACATGTACCACCTACCTTCCCAGTATGATCCCGAGAATATTTATAAGTTTAGAGTATCTCCAACCCTATTCCACGATTTATAGTAAAATGGAATGTGATTAGAGATGCTCTTAGACAAGAAAAAATTCAAAGTTTCTCAACAACCAAGGTCGTAACTCGCTCTTGAAGCATAGTATTACTCTTAATAGATGCATATACCCTGATCATTTCCAGAATTAAGAGACATAAGTTAGCCACAGTGGTCACACATAATGAGAAAGATGAAAAGATCATGCTAACACATTCCAGCTTCTCTTTTTGTTCTGTAGGACTATTCCTTTATCCTGATCCTTCCTAAAAGAGACTATAAAATTAACTTTTTGAGCCAAAAAATCCACTACGTTCGATCACTAGAAATTTAATCAGAAACACAAAATATGAAAAGAGTAGAGTCAATGGATATGTCTAGTTAGAGATATCTAATCTCATTCCATAATTTAGGGCAAAATGGAATGAGGTTAGAGATGTTCTTACTTACGCAGAGTTACGCATCTCTGAGAGAGCTTCCAAACACACCACTGGGTCTAATCTTTATATTAATCGAACAATCAAAGATCCAAGTATAACAAGTTCATTATCTCTTCATCACTCTCAACTCATATAATAAGAAAAACAAAAGCCTCTGCTTCTCTAGCCTTGCTTTATTCAGACAATGTTTGCTCCAACTATCAATAATAAAACATCTATTGAGGACAACAAAAAGTGACCAATCTTATGGGTAAAGTAACGTAGAAATTCAAGAATCAAAGAAATAAAGGAAAATCCAATTCAAACTTTCATTCAGATCCTTCAAGTTTAATTCAGCAAAAACAACAAAAAATGAAAGAAAAAAAAAACATGAAAAAGAAAGATTGTTTTCACCAGATGATCAGAGCCTCTAAGATTCTTGTTGTATTGCCTTTTTTAACCCTCAGTGTTCTTAAGATTCATAAACAAATCACCAAGATTAGTTTCACAAGCCGTTTGACCATCTTCTCCCAAACCCTTGAGGAGAGACTTGGTGAGTTTCAACGAAGACACCATTCTAAAGATCCTACCACAGAACTTACGCACCTTAGCTCTCCTTGCTTGCTTCTCCGGCATATTTGCAACAAGCTCTTTAATCAAAAGACTCAGTTTCACCAGATGGCTCTTCATTATCTTCTTCGACTCTTCGTGCGTCTCTTTGCTTATAGGAACCAATGATCTTAAAGCCTCGGAGATCATTTCAAGAGCTTCCACTCTACGATACTCAACTTTAGGATTCACACTTTTCTCCAGAATAAATCCAAAAAGCTGGTGTGAAATCCACGGTTTCCTTCTAAACACTTCCTCAAGAAAGTCTACCTTTATCTGAGACTTCTTGCTATCAAAGTAACCCACAAGGACACTCCTAAACACATCCAAGACCTTCTCCAGTTCAGTCTCTGAGAATTTTCTAGAGTCGATCTTCTCCAGTTCAGTCTCTGAGAATTTTCTAGAATCGATTATTCTCAAAACCCAGTAAGTTGAATTCTGTGCAAGGTTAGCGATCATCTTGTGACGGTTCCACGCAGCAGACTGCTTCTTCTTTGAAGGATCAACACCTGACTTCTTACTCTTGAATGGCTTTGCCGCTAGTTTAAGATTCTTCTCCAATAAAGAAGCAAGTGTAGGTAGTTCAATAGATTCATCCTTGAATAACTCTTTAGCCTTGAAGATCTTCTTCTGGATGATACCCCATATCCGCTGTAAAAGCTGCTGACTACTTTCTGCAGTGCTTGGGTTCACTAGTGCCTGAGCTAAGTTTAAGTACACTGTCATAACTTGAGGATTACCTGTTAAAAACATCCCCAAACACACACACAGAGAGCTTATCTCAGTAGAGACCAATGTGCACTTCATAAAAGGCCAAATCATTATCTTATAAAGCAATTACCTGGATTTTCATGAAGGTAG